GGGTTTAGGCGGCTTAGGGGTTTAGGGGTTGGGGTTAAGGTTCAGGGGTTTAGGGCTTTAAGGGTTTTAAGTTTTAGGGCTTTAGGGGCTTAGGGGCTTAAGAGCTTAGGGGTTTGGGGGCTTGGGGTTTAGGGGTGTAGGGTTTAGGGGTTTAGGGTTTAGGGTGTTTAGGGGTTTAAGGGTTTAGGGTGTAGGTTTTTTGTTTGTATTTTCTCCCGCAATCCACAGTCGGAAGGCCCAGAGGCCAGGAGTTGGTGGTCCCTTCGAGATCACCAGATGCGAGCCGAGAGCCCTTACCAGCTCCGACAACGCACCAAAACAACAACCCTCTGCCTCCACTGCTGAACGTCAAGTCATGGTCACCCGTCCTCAGACCCTGCAGGCATCTCACTCCCCACATCCGCGGACGACCCTTCTCTCCCCGGTGCCGTTGGTCCATACAGAGCATAGTGAACATCGTGCATCTGTTGCTGGGTACCCTGTGTGCCCTCACTGACCGTCGGTGTTGCCAACTCCACCTCCGTGTCCGCCGGCATGGAGGGGGCCAGGCCTGAAAAGACCCCAACAACCCCCGCTGCTGGCAGAGCATCCCCCAAGGCCGGTACAACAGGCGACTCGACACCAGGTAGTACTTGTGTGGCGATCTCATCCTGGTCCTCCTCCTCTTCTACCCACAGCCTCATAGAAAGTGTAGTGACCTGGCCTTCCGGTAGAGGAATCCTGATAGTTCGCCGAGGTACCTCTGTGCTGCCACTGCTGCTTTCGCCACCCAACTGCATCATCAGAACCCTTACCTTCGCTGGTGGCTCAGCCGGCAGATCCCGAAGCGAGGCCAAATACTGAACTTCCCTGTCTTGGGCAGCTTGTTCCGAGTCGGCTCTGTGGGAGCTCTCAACCCCCGAGGAGTTAAGTGTCAGGATCTGATCCAGCTGCGCCGCCGGAAGGTCCCCGTGCACACTTTGCGGGTGGCCTTCCTCCTCGGAGAACAAGAGTTCATCTGGAATCGGCACAGGGCTAAGCATCACTGGCCTGCTGCGAGGCGTCAGGCCCCGTGCCTGCCTCGACCCAGGATGCAGCATGAGGTGTCTCTGCAGGCGCTGTGCCCATTGTAGCGCCCACATGGTATCCACGTCCTCCGCCCGTGCCCAGTCGGCCCCCGTCGGATCCCCTGCAAAGGTGACGAGTGTTGCCGTCAGGGTCGCCGTATTGCCATGCATGTGGCCTAGCAGGTAGCCTGCCCTTTCATCCGAGCAGCGGTGATCCAACCATTCCAGCATCCATTCGGCAATACGGGCTTGGGCTGGTTTGCGTCGCCCTTCCATCGCAGCTATAAACCCCCTCATCAACGGTTCCCAGTCGTTCTCATCTGCCCCAGAGGGAGAGGAAGGCATCTGCATCCACATTGTCTCATCACTCTCTGCTTCCTCTGGCTCGACCCTAACCGTCACCTCAGCAGTGCCCATCCTTTCTGCCGCGGCTGCTTGCTGGGCCGCTTCCCCCATGGCGGCGAGGAGAGCGAGGGCCACTCTATGGATGGCCAGCATAAGTGTAAGTCTGTCTTGCATCCCGTGGCTCAGGAAGGTTTCCCCCAAGTTGCTCATCACCTGCTCCGGGAGAAAAGTTCCACCGACCGTGTCGTTGATGTTTCTGAGGCCCAGAGCTAGCATCCATGTGTCTACCGCCATGTCAACTGTGATGGGCATGGGGTCGCTGCTGCTGGCAGCCCTGTCGCTCGGATTGCACGGCCTCCTCTCGCAGCCACTCCACTGGATCTTTCCGGGGGTGGTCGGGTGGGGGGTTTTGGGGCCGGCCGCTCCTTGGGCTTTGGTTTGGCTCGTGCGGTGTTCCCTCGGTCTGAGGTGTTCCCCCGATGCCTTGCTGCATGCGCGATCTCGGCCAGGTTACGGGTCTCCCGAGTACATCGGGGAGACCGTGACGTGTCCGTAGGAGGGGCTGTGCGCGTGCGGTCTCTTTCTCGACGACGTCGATTCCCTTCGCCTCCCTTGAGCCAGCGGTCCCTTGGCCGCTGCATCATGGAGGCCTCATCCCCTGTCACTCCACCCGATGAGGAGGCAGAGTCGGAAGACAAGAAGGGTTCACCACTCATATCCAAGCCATGCATGACAAAGGCTTCCCACAACCTTTGTTCCATCATGCTCGTCCATCCCACCAGGCTCTCCGGGCTGGTGGTGAGCTCGCCCGTGTAATTCCCAAGCTGGCTCTCCGCCTCCCTGACGTAGGCTCTGGCCCTAGCTTCATATTCCGCAAAATGTCTTTCGGAGATGCAGGCGAGGAGGAGGGTGTAGGGGTTTAAGGTCTAGGGTGTAGGAGTTTAGGGTGTAGGGGTTTAGGGTTCAGGGTTTAGGCTGTAGGGGTTTAGGGTTTAGGGTGTAGGGGCTTAGGGGTTTAAGGGGTTTAGGGTTTTAGGGGTTTAGGGTTTAGGGGTTTCGGGTTTAGGGTGTAGGGGTTTAAGGTCTAGGGTGTAGGGGTTTCGGGTGTAGGGGTTTAGAGTTTAGGGTTTAGGGTGTAGGGGTTTAGGGTGTAGGGGTTTAGGGTTTGGGGTTTAGGGTGTATAGAAATTCTATAGGGTTTGGGTCCGGGGATTTGAGCGAAAGTTTTGAACTAAAGTCTTGACCGATTTTTTTTTTGCTTTTCGCAGGCGCTTGGGCTGCCTGGCCTTGCCGGCTGGGCTGGGCTGGCTGGGCTTTGGGCTGGGCTGGGCTGGTTTTGGCCCAAAGTTTTGACCGAAAGTTTCGTTTTTGCTTTTCATGTTTGGTTTTGGTGGGCTGGGGCTTGCAAAGCAGGACCTGCGCTGTC